AAGAGCGCCCCCCGCCGAGTCCCGGCTCCGCAGAGCGGTCCCAGCTGGCCCGCACTCCGCCGCCCCCTGCCGCCTCCGCCGTCCAGACAACCAGCCCCACCATTCAGCGAACAAGATACCCTCCAGGTAAGAGCCCTCGCCCGGCGCTGCTCCTCTAGCAGGACTTAATCCGAAGTAAGCGAGGCCGCCCCGGCCCGGCGGCGGGTCCGGCTTCGCTCCGCGGGCGCCCTGGCCGCAGGCATGACCGGGGCCGAGGGGGTATCGCCAGCCCCGATCCAAAAATACGCAAAGATTTGGGTTTTTTGTTTTTGTTTTTTTTTTTTGAGGGATGCAGCTGTGGTTCCCACGACGTGACTTGCTCCTCGGCGCGTTACGCGGCGCCTTTCCCGCTTCAGGCGGGTCCGGGGCTCCCCGCGAAAATGGGAAAGGTTTGGGAAGGCGCCTTCTCTGCGCCTGAAACGCTCGGTGTGGAGAGGGAAGGAAAACAGCGGAGTATTTACTTTTGAGGGAAAGTGATGCCGGCGCTTAAAGTGGAAAGGAAAAGCCGGGGCTAGAAGCGGAGCGTAGATAACCCTGGGAAAAGAGAAAGTAGGAGGAGTTCTGCTGATCCCAGCAGAGCCTTGGCAGTTCAACTCTTTCCTCCTTATCTGCTCTTCAAATAGAGTTCAGTTTAGACGTGTCGGCTCGGACGCCTGCGTGGCATCCTTGTTTCTTAAGCAGGATGAACACTTTTTTTGCCGAGAAAAAGGCACGGCAGAACAGTGCCCGTGAGCTCCTGCTCCTTTCCAGCACGAGCAGAAAATCCGGCTTCCCCCCCACCCCCGGTCACTGTCCGCATGTCAACTTTGGCCATTATTTATCAGTTCCTTAAACTGCATTACTAAATGCAGTTCCATTGGTGGTGCATGGCAGGAGTTTCTTTTCCACTTGCTTTGCCACTCTCAACATTTTAATAGTGACTAGGAGAAGCAGTCCTTTAACGTTCCCCCCCCCCCACCCCACAACTGTTTGACCTCACACATTGACAGGGAGCCAGTTATCTTTATTAATTTGTGTTAATTTAATTGTGCACGTTCTGCTGGAGACGGACAGGCTAATATACAGAACAGCTAGATAAAAAGCTGAAGATGAAGTCTGTAAAGACGTTGTTCTCCTGCCTTCTTCCTTTCTCTGGTTCTTTCTTTTCATACTTGGAGATACAACTTTTTAAAAGGCGGTAATTTTAAGAAGCATGAGCAATGATTTTCTCTCACCTTTTTCCATTTTCCTGTGAAAAAGAAAGAGCGGAGTGTCCTCTTAACATGGAAATACAGTAATGAAAAGCTGTTTACTTAGCTCCAATGTGTTCCTGCACAGAACAAACAATGAGGAGGAATTTAAAAACGGGGCTTATTTAACTGAAATTAATGTAATGATTACGCAATAGTTTCAAATGAGCATTTTAAGAAACCAAAGCAAAACAAATTATTCTTAAAGGTGAACAGCTATCTTTTAACCTAGAAATTTTTATATGAATTATTTACCAAGTGCCTCTGAAATATAAATCATACTAGTTTTAAATAAATTAAGTAGTCCTAACTCTGAAATACATTTTCCCCATGGGCAATAATGCTTTTTTATTGTCTTAATTTTTTTTTCTGTGCGAGAGTTTCCACTAACTGATAAAGGGATTATTTTTATTTCCTCAATGTTTGTCAAAGTGAAACTCAGCAAGGGCATTTGATTTTGATTGCAAATACTGGCCTCGAATCCTGCAGTGCTTATGCAGACAAACCTCACATTGATTGCAGAACTGGGTACATTATTTCTTATGTGGAAGAACAGAAATAGTGGAGCAGTAGAAGATTTAAAAAGAAATAAACTATACACAGTCAGCCTTTATGCTACTAGACTCATCACTTTAACTATCAGTGGACTGGATTGTTCTTTATAACTAACAGGTCAAAAGGAATATTGTGAGCCTCTGCCTTGATCTCCCATAAAAGTAGGGTTGGAAATATTAGGTACTTTTTGCAGATTTATATGTATATAGGGCTATCAGCTTTTAAGTAAAATTCACTACATTAAGGGGTTCTTAACAATAGCAGCAAGATAGCACCCTTGTATATTATCTGATTAAAAATGTATTTTGAAGGCCTTAAATTAAAAAGATGAATTTATCTTCACAGCTACCCTGTAGCGGCTACAGTGATTTTAGTTTTTCTTAGACATATGCTGGACGCAGTGCACCTTTTAAAAAGATATATTTCTATGTATATAAAGCATGTGTATGCGTATGTGTGCATGTACGTACGCATACACACACAGACACATAAAAGGTATGTCTGATAGCCTGATTTTCCTCCTCATGAAATTTTTATGGTATAGGGCTATATACCATTCCCATGCTGCTTGTTTAGTACTCATGGACATCTATGTATGTTAAGCACCAGATCCAGGGCAGTTTGTGCTAGGTTCTATTCACTTTCACCTGTTTAAATCTGGAGTAACTCTAGTGACCTCAGTCAGGTTAACTGAGAGCAGGATGTGGCCCCAATGGTGTCTAATATATGCTTCTTATTAAAGTTCAAATACTTGAAGGTAATTTATAATTCCCATATTCTGGGAGGAGGGGGTGGGAAGTATCTAATTTAGCTCCATGAAATGCAGGAAATTGCCATAAAAAGGATAAGGAAGAAGGTAGTAGCTACCCCAAACTGCAGCCTCAGCATGCCTCTTGCCTGTTGTTAATAGCCCCTTTTGCCCTTGCAGATATGCCCTGTGTGCAAGCGCAGTATAGCCCTTCACCACCTGGTTCGAATTATGCAGCTCAGACCTATGCTTATGGCACGGAGTACAGCTCAGAGATCATGAACCCGGACTATACCAAACTCACCATGGACTTGAGCAGCACTGAGATCACTGCTGCTGCTGCCACCACCTCCCTGCCCAGCTTCAGCACCTTCATAGAAGGATACTCTGGCAACTATGAGCTCAAGCCCTCCTGCTTGTACCAAATGCAATCTGCCGCCTCCTCCTCCAGCCAGAGGCCCCTCATAAAAATGGAAGACAACCGGCTGCCTAGCTATCACTCCTCACTGCCACCCTCCACAGATGAAGGGATGCCCAGTACCTCCATGTACTTCAAGCAGTCTCCCCCCTCCACACCCACCACGCCAGGATTCCCCTCGCATCAAACTTTGTGGGATGAACCACCACACTCGCTGCAGCCTGCACAGACCTGCATGGCCCCCAGTCACCTGATGGACACTGCTCCTATGAAGACTGTGCCCACACGTTTCCCCCTCTTCCACTTCAAGCACTCACCACCTCACACGCCAGCATCTGGAAGCCACATGTGCTATGACCCTGCCTCCCTGAGCCTTCCCCTTGGACCCGACAGACCCACTGCCAGCCAGGCCACTATGGAGAGCCACCCTTATGGTCTCCCCCTCACCAAGAGATCAGCCGCCTTAGCCTTCTCATCACTGGGCCTCAATACAGCCACTTCCAGTTTGATGGGTGAGAGCAGCAGTAGCAGCAGTGGCCTCCCATCCCCACCTAGCAGGAGCTCCTCATCTGGAGAGGGCACTTGCGCTGTGTGTGGGGACAATGCTGCCTGCCAACACTATGGAGTACGGACGTGCGAAGGCTGCAAAGGCTTCTTCAAGGTGAGGACTAGACACACACACTCCAGCCCCACACCCAAAACATGTCCATCCAGTTTAGCTGTTGTCTGTCTCTGTGACCCAGGAGAATTAAAATGGTTCCTGGAGCAGCAAGTGGAGAATTCAAACCCATCATGCATTGCAGTGGGGTATACACCAGGTGGCTGTTCATAAGTGGCCAAATCATGCCTGCCATAGAAGTTAATGAATTAGATCAACCACTGCACAACTGAGGTAAATCAGTGGAGGTAGGCTAATTGATGCCAGCCCAAGATCTTGTCCATAGTGTCTTCTGAAGTGTTCAGGTCACTTGTTTCAGGGACTGCCTTTTTCAGAATAAATCTGCCTCAACATATTGGATTGACTTAGTCCCTCATCCTAATTAAATATTTCTAAAATGAGACAGAAATCTGGACAGTCACTCTGTAATTTAGCAGGTGGTGATAGTAAAACCCTTGCATTCCAGTAATCTAAACAAATGTAGCTGTGAAGACATACCAAGGAGGTGATTGGATCAGTGTATGTTATAAAACAGAACATTTGTAATTCTATGAAGTTGCTGCCTCATTACAACTACCTAGTTTAGGAACAGAATGAATTCTCATCAGTTTAAGGTATCAAATAGAGCAGTGACTAAGCATTGCTCAGTGCCTCCATATTAGCTCTGTTACTTACTGAGAAGGTTGTGGGGCTGGAGAATGGCACTTATAATTTACACACGAAGTTCTCTGCAAGAAAACTTTTCTGTTGATACTTTCAGATTCTGTGCATTTGCTTCTTTTAAAGTTAGGTTTAGGCTTGAGTATGAAATAGTTTTTATTTTTCAACAGATTGTAATTTTAGGTCTCAGTTTACTCTGTACAAATTGCACACTTTAGTTTAGAGTGTGAAATACATCTTAGAGTTTTATTTATTAGCATTGAGTTTGAAGCTGTGATTTGCAGCTGTGATTTGCAGCTCCCTACAGTTGCTTTTTGTAGGGAGTTCCTCTTCTTCCCATCAGAGTTAATGGATATGCTCCCACTAGCTTTGAGGAAGCAGGAACAGGCCCTGAAAGTTTACAACATTTTTTTTTATTGTACTGAGTGCTGTCAGTAATAATACATTTACACTACATTGCTCTCACTACATTACTCTCACAATTTATTAGTTATTTAGGAACAGTTGGATTATATAACAAAAGTTGTCCTGGAGTAGGTGATATTAAGGGCCCGATCCTGCTTTGAAGACATTTAAGAGTAAAGTACATTTAAACTGGGAGCAGGATGCAGTCCTGAATCTGCTAAGTATTTTTTTTTCAAGTATAACACATAACTTGCAGTTTAAGGTATAGCAAATGTTGTTTTATATTCCTTATTTTTATTATTTTTGATGTTGCCTTTTATTTCTCCAGGAACACCAATTGTGACCGAATTAACATTTTTCTATGAATGTAGTATCACTGAAAAATTCAATTTAAAATGTTGCGCTCATTGATTTGTTGGTGTTTTTAGGCCTTTGCTATTAATTGCTTGTTTGTGCTGAAATCAAATTATTTATTGACATATTCTTGATTTAAAATATATAAACACATTGCACTGCTTACAGCAATCTCTAGTTCCAGTCTTAATGTTTTTTTGTAAAATCTATAGTTACTTTACAGGTTTTAAAAACACCGTTTATAAAATAATGCAGATTTAAAAAATATTGCCAACCCTTCCACCAACCACCAAACATTCATTCTAGAGATAAGCATATATAACTAGAATATAGCTCCATTCATTTTCCCTAGAGTAAATTATCTTTCCATAGACTTGACTAAGTAAGTATTGTTGAGGTGACTTTTGTATTTTTGCTTTCATCTCTATCAATGCTAATGACTAGCAAAACGAGGTATTATGATATTTGACTAACAATAGTGATAGCAAGAGAAGTACATCTCAGATCATTTTTATTTTATTTTAATAAGGTCAGCAATAATCAGGGGAATGAACCAAGTAGAAACTTGTTCCCACAGGGATATTAAAAGCAGAGATAATCTAATCCCCAAAGGTAGATACGATGACCTGGTAATTTCAGATATGATTTTATCATTCAAAGTTGGCTGTCTCCAGAGACTTGCTTCAGAACAATCCTAGATGATTTTCATTGTCAGCAGCTAACACTAATAAAATTGTTTTTCCTGCAGGCTAGCATGTTAGGAAATTAATTTTATCTAATTATATGAATTGCACTGTCGCTTTTCACATTGTAATTAAAATACATCCTGTCAGGTCCCAGCTTGTTCAAAAACCTATCAGTTGACTACTCCTGTGTTGCATTTTCTCAGAGAACAGTTCAGAAAAATGCAAAATATGTTTGTCTGGCAAATAAAAACTGTCCAGTGGACAAGAGACGTCGTAACAGATGCCAGTACTGCCGATTTCAGAAGTGTCTCAGTGTTGGCATGGTTAAAGAAGGTAAGGAGCATTGCTATTGCTAGCACAGATATCTAAATATGACATTTGAATCTGTCTGTCTGTCTATGCATTCTATGATGAATTTTAAAAGGGTGAGCTCCCTAACTTATTTTTTCTGTAAGTGCATAAGTGAGGATGGGTGGGGTATGTGTGTGATATGTATTTTTTTTCTTCCAGGCAGTTGTCTTACAATATTTGAACGTTCTAGAAACACAGGTTCAAGAACAGCAAGGTCATAAAAGGATGGTTTCTTTCCCAAATACCCTGTGAATTTCTCCTTTCAACTCTTTCACAATATTACATTGTATTTAACTGCTACCCTCTCCTTGACAAGGGCTGCACCTCATTTTATACTACATATCATAACATCAGGCCCTATCCTGTCCCCAGTGGGGGTGAGGGCAGAGTGGTTTAAGGTGTCTTGCTTTACCTCCCCTCATGTGAGTTTGAGCCCTGCTCCAGATTCATACTAAATAATAGTTTGTGCAGAAAATACCTGATCTAAGCTGAGGAATCAAAGGAGGCTGGATGGGATGCTAACCACATCACTCCCTTGTGTGCCACTGGTTACAGAAATTGGGATGCCTTGACTATGTTCCACTAGGCTCAGGAGGACATACTTCCATGTAGCTAAATAAGTTTTATCATTAATTTTAATAGATGCAAGATTTTACCCCTAGGCTCCAGTTCTGTGAGTGCTTAAGTGAGTAACATGAATGTGTTTGTAGTCCCATTCAGCATTGTTCACATGAATAATCTAACATTATTTAAGCGGGCATATTGTTTGTGATGTGCTTTAAGAAAGCCAAGAATCTTTTCAGTTAAGTATTCTTCAAAAGGGATCTAAACATGTTAGCAGTATTAAAAATTGTGTTTCAAATTCAAGTTTTCTTTCAATAATAGAATCTGTGTGTTTATGCATGTGCATATATGTGTAAAACAGTGATTGTCAACTAGTGTACTGCAACACCCTCAGGTGCCATGAGATACTTTTAAGGATGCTAGGCAATATTAGCACTATTATTAGGTATGCAGATACCTATACATGCTTCACAAGATAAACCCAGAAATTTCAAATTGGAAATCCATTATGTCAAAACCATTCTGACCTGTTGTGGTCGTTCTGAGTTCTTTGCAGTGAGAGAATTGCTCTTTTGCTTTTCTGTAGTCAAAAAATGAATGCAAGCTATGAGCTGGCATTTTCTGAGGGAAGACTTGAGTCTAAGACTTTTACATCGGTGGGTGAGAACCACCGATGTAAAACTTACACATATAGTAACACAAGTAGATTCTACATAAGAAGGTTGTCACTTAGATGGTATGTTAATGACTATGAAAATGAGTTTAATACCATTTGTATAATATTATTTATATTTATGCACAATTAAAGATGGCAGTGACTGATATATATTTAACTTGAAGCAATGGCTGGTTTCGCTGAATTAGTCAACATTAAAAACTAACATGGTGTTCATTTGACTTGTATCTATTTGCTGCAGTCATTGCAGACTGATTTTCTTTTCTTCTTTTTTAACCAGTTGTCCGCACTGATAGTTTGAAAGGGAGAAGAGGCCGGCTGCCTTCCAAACCAAAGAGCCCCTTACAGCAGGAACCTTCTCAGCCATCCCCACCTTCTCCTCCAGTCAGTATGATAAATGCCCTCGTACGAGCTTTAACTGACTCCACACCCAGAGAGCTTGATTACTCCAGAGTATGTTTTTCTTTTTTCTTTTTGCATACATTTTGTTTTTATTTAACAATGAGTATGACTGAGTATAAACTGTATCAGTTAGATAAAGTAGTAACTGAAAAAGTCAGCCCCATTAATCACTGCTGTGAAGGCAGTAACTTAAATGGTGTTACGCTGGAAATTAATTTTAGCCTGTCTGTGGTGATAGCGTCTTTAACTTGAGATTATCTACGGTACTCCTCACAAGTGTACTAGAGCAAGGCCATGTGGATAAATTGTTCAGAGATCCTGCATCTAGGTATGCTCAAAGCATCACAGATTTACAGGGAGTTCTGTGCAGAGTTGGAGGTGCACCCCAGTGTTTACAGTTGCAGGGTTACAACCTTAGTTTCCAGTTTGGAAAACCTAACTCATATTTGTCAAATTCAGATATATGGGTTAGCACTGTCTAAATATAGCTATACTCAGATATATGTATCATGTGAATCTATATCTAGTTGTGGAAACAAATCAGAAATTTAGGTCCTGATTTTGCTTCTGTTGAAGTCAATGTGAGTTTTGCCATCATTTAAAAAATGGGGATGGTTTTTGAACTTTGCATAATATAGTATGCATTTTCTTCAGAAGTAATTCAAGCCTGTGGAACAATTATTCAAATTAAGCAAAAATACTAAATCAGGAAAGCATGTTCATATAATATAGATGTTTGTAAGATTTTTAAAACTTGATTGTTATATACATATTTTTGGAGCATTCTTCAGTCTTTTGTAGATAACAGACTGCATGCTATGCCTGTAATTATTAAAATGTATTGCTGTAATTTCAAAACAAGAAAAAATACAGCTCAGGAAAAACATGAAGAATTTCCTTCTTACTTGTTACTAAGTATGAGACTGGAAAGAAGGCAATTGTATCAACGTGTCACTTATGATACCAATTTATCACTTGTTATTAAGTAGTACTTAACAGAGAAAAATATATTCTATCCTATTTTATACAGACTTTTTATTTATTTTTAATTGGAAAGATAGGATAGTAATTACAGGCATTTTATAGATTCTTTTCTGCAAGCTAAACTGATTATAAAAGCATTTATATGTTTTATTCTTATTAAGAACCCAGTTTTTTATGATAATTTTTAAGGGGAGAATTAAGTAGGTATATACTCATATAATCAAACTTACCCAGAATAAATTGTGGTTTGATCCTGCAAACACTTTTGAATGTAGGTAGACTCACAGACATAGACCTACTGAACTCAGTGAAATTACCCAAGTCAGCACAGTTATGCAAATGTGTCAGTGCAGGGTTCAACCCTAAATATTTATTAATATAACTTTTTTTAACAATTACAGCACTGAATGAAAATTGTGTTTTCATGTGATTTTTTTCAACTGACTGTGAATACTTAAATTCTTCAGGAAATACATCTAAATGGTTGATGTTTTTATGATTACAGAGACTCTTAAAGGGAATCTATGGTGGCACTAAGTTAGTTTAGGCTTGGTATCTAAAAATTGTGTTTGATTGCCTGTTGGTGGGATTTGATAACCTAATTTTGCTTTTAAATAAAACAATAGTTTATACTGCTTGGTAGTGAAAATGTTTTAATTAACCTAACATACATGAATTAATAGTTATATTTTTTAAATTTTCTGCATGCTTTAACAAATTAGACCAATACAAATAGAAATAAGCTGTGTACTTTCAAAATCACTTTTTAGAATTCTGGACAAGTGCTGATTAAATGCAGGTATGTTTAGTTAAGTCTTGACCCTGCAGTGCAGTGTATATGGGTAGCCTTGTAGGCATGCTTAGGGGGTCAACCACAAAAAAATACATGCCAGGATCAGGGCCTTAATTATTAGAATGTCCAGCAAAGTAGAGTTTTGTTCACTATAAGAAAATGCTATAAGATTCTCAGTACAGAATGTGTATTTCCCCCCCCCCCCCAATATATTGCACAAAGAAAACTCCTTATGATATAAAATAATATAATCGAGGGATGTCAAAACAAATCTTACTGGAATTTGTTCAGAACATTTCTACTCTTAATTTCAGGGTTAATTTTACTTTACCAGGATACGGTAATGGTATATTTAGATACTTGATTTCGAAAAGCAGTTACTAGGAAGAGAATTTATTTTATGAACTCTTTAAAGGCCAAGAGCCATATTCAGGTCTCACACCTGTTTCACTGGGATAATTCCATGAAGTTCAGACTTACTCGGTATATACAAGATAAGATTCAAGCAACATATCTTAAAGCCCTTATTCAGTCCTATTTACTTTGTACCACAATTGTGTGAAATGGGGCAATAATCTGCTCCCACTATGTATATACAGAGGTCAGAAATTTAGCAAGTCTCAGGGCTACTAATGCAGAAATGGAGATGCCCTGATATCATGGCTCCTCCTCTTGAAATCCAAGGAGGCCATCTCCATGTTTTGGCAGCTATAGGAATTCAGGGAGGTATGACATGAGCAGGAGAGCATAGAACTAGTGCAGGATCTCTCTCTATAGCCTCAGAGTTTCAGATCCTACACAAATTTTCTACATAAAATAAAGCCTCTCCTCTCGCAACTCCCTCTTTAGGGAAACTTGGCAGCAACCACAGGCAGAGTTCCTGTGATGTCTGAGTGCTCTAGCCAGGGAGGTGAGGGAGGGCTTCCTCTTCTGATTTTGTCTTAAAGGCCACCAGTTTATGCTGGCACCTCAAGCAATACAGAATGGTCCCCCTGTTCTGTACTGGCTGCCTCACTAAGGCCATGCTTACTAGTTATTTTGTTGTGGGAGTGAGGTCACATACCAATTCCTTTCAATGGGACAATCATTCAAAAACTGCATATGTTTTCCCAGGGTTCAGAACGTTTTGTACATAAGTCAGAACTATAGAATTTGGCTCTGATTGGTTGCCTCAGCTATTTTTTGGCAACATGTCATTGTAGCAAAGAATGATATATTCTGTCAGTTCAAATGTTGGAAATATAATTTACATATTTTCTCTCCTTGAAAATGCTCTCGTGGGGTAGATTAAGTTATTGACATTTTTTAAATGAATCTAAGAAAAGCCTACAATTATTAAAAGTGCATTCAATATAATTAATAACCCTGCTACAATATGGTACTGTAGAGTGTAATGTAACGTTCACATTATCTAGTGTAGCATTTGAATCATAGAATTTTCACTTCCTATATTCCAGTTAGGTAAATTTCTTAACCTTAAGGGATACTTAAAAAATATAGAGCCAGATTTATCCTCTGTGTAATTCTATTGACTGCAGACAAGTTACAGCCACAACGAATTTAGAACCTTTCCTTTCCTTTCCTTCCTTCTTTTTTTTCTCTCTGTTCTCTGGTCTTTCTGGTTGAGAGCATGCCCTCTCACCGAGATACCAGAAGGAGCAAAAGGAATTGCTCACAGATCATTCAGTGGGCCCTCCATGGACTCTCCCACGTAGGGTGCACCCTTTCCCTGCTTCACATGCATCCCCTTACTCTATGTGGATATTGGTAGTACCACAGAAGTGACCATTCTCCAGCAGTCCTGTTTGGTATTGGCAGACCCACACAGAAAAAGTCCCTTCTGTGCACAGCTTTTGGAGGCAAGATCTGGCCCTGTGGGAGGAGGAATATTATTTTTGTTCCTAGTAATCATTTCAGAGAACCTGCAGGAATACACGCTGTGTCTTGGAGGGCTTGACTGACAACATACTTGAGTGCGGATTTCCCATAGAAATAAGGGCCTATGACAAAAGTCTAGACATTGTGCATTAGATTTAAATTTGGGTGTGAAAACAAGGAATTAGGAGGTATTAGGGAGAAGGAGGAATGGGGAGTTCTGGAATAAGGTGGGGCTATTGGATAGTTGTCTACTGGAATGAGGGTCATATCAACATGATGATAGGTTCTTCATCTGAACCTAGAAGGGGTTCTCTTTGGAAGATGAGATTTTTATAAGGGTTGATTTTGTCCAATTGTTTTAGTTTGTACCAAACTTTTAATTTTTTTATTCAAGTTCATTGATGCTGTCTATGTCAGATAAAAAAAATATCCTATGTGCTCCTGTCACAGTCAGATAAAAATGGAGAACTAGAGGAAATCTGTATTCACAATATACAGAGCTAAAATTAATCACTGGGGAATTATTTCTCATTTTAAAAATTGTAATAAGTTAAATCAAATTCCTGTTCCCTTCCACTTTTAAAAGTTATCCAAACAACTAGATTTTGTTTTTTTATTATTTATTAATAATATATAGATATTCTCAAATGTTATTATTTGAATTGATTCTGATGTTTATAAATATATACATATTAAAATTCTAGAGCTACATGTTTTAAAAGGAAAATGCTTACAGATATAGAGAAATAGATGGGTATATATCTATATTGCTATAAACACAATTTATAATTTCTTTGATAAAATATCCTCCTGTTTTTGCCTTTGAGGGGCTCACAGAAAACATTTGGGTGTGTTGGGACTGTATTGTGGCATACTTTAAAAACACTTAGCTTTGTTTCTGTGGGTTTCATTTTAGTACTGTTCCACTGACCAAGCTGCTGCAGGCACAGATGCAGAACATGTGCAACAGTTTTATGATCTTCTGACTGCCTCCATTGACATATCCAGGGGCTGGGCAGAAAAAATTCCAGGATTTACTGACCTCCCAAAGGAAGATCAGACGTTACTCATAGAATCAGCTTTTTTGGAGCTGTTTGTACTAAGACTCTCCATCAGGTAATTACTTGATATTCAAAATTATTTAATCTTAAATTGTTATAAAAGTATGTATTTTAGAAATATTACTATAGCAATATCTTTAATTTTGTCATTTGTGAAAATAGACCTCATTGAGTAACAACAAAAGATACGTATTCATAGAATACTGCATTCAATTTGTGACACAAATTAAGAAAACTAAGAAAATATTTTACAAAGAAACACACCAATGTTGTTCTTACTAACATGATTCCATTTATTGGATTTACCAGATTCTCTTCTCCACTTTTAATCATAGCTTGTCCTGATATGCTTTTAATGAAAATTGCTTGGAACTTATCAATAAGGACAGAGCAAAAGCATTCGTAGGGCAGTGATCTGATTTTGTTTGTTTGTTTTTCTTCCTTTTCCTTTTACACTGACATAGTGAAATACTGTTTTGGAAAGGGACTAAAAATCCTGTTCAGATTGCTTGTCTTCTTAATACGAAAGTAGTTTTATAGACCAAGATAGTGGTTATCAGCCTGACATTAGCAATATTTTACCTAAGAGAGTTGCAGAGAAATCCCAGGCTGGAGTTTTGAATTACACCCCTGTTCCTTTAGGGTCAAGATAAACACATACATGGGTTACGAGTGTTCTTTTTTGGTGCTGGATTGTAATCAGACACAGCCTGTCTTTTTTTTAACATAAGAGATTTTCTGCTTTGAGGATCACAGCCTACTCTATAGGTGCTTACAGAAATTACATTTTTCACATGATGAGGCCGCTAAAAGCACTCTACAGCCATAACATAACAAATGTTCACAGCTGCAGAGCACTTTTTAAATGGCCAATTGCATGAAAAATTAACCCTCACTGAATCAGTTATTAGCTGAAGGTGCTCTAAGGCAGAGTGCCTTAGGGAACTTGCATACAGGTTCCCTGTGAGGGTTAATTTGTGGCAATTCTGCCCCATCCTATGCACCTTTGCAGAGCTGGGCTGGTGGTTATGCAAGCAGCCCAGTCCCAGCCCTGGGACTGCCACAGAGAGTCTCCTCCCTATACAGCCAAGGGAAAGGGAGAGTGGGGGGCTCGCACCCCAGCTCCCAATGTAAGCATGTTAACAGTATCCCTACCTAGCTGCGGTGCCAGGAGCTGATGCAGGGAGGAAGGAATGCAAAATCTATGCCTCGCAACTCTAGCTCCCCCCCGCAAGACCCCACCTGGGGTAGCTGGGCCGGGCCAGTGCACTATAGGTGCTCAGATTCTCCACCCCCTCCCCACCCCAGCTCCTGGCACAAGCATGTTGACAGGAGCCCTGCCTGATTGTGGTGCCGGGAGCTGGGGCAAGGAGGTGGGATGGAATTTGCCCCCCTCCACCATGCTGGCCCAGCTACCTCAGGTGGGGTCTTGGGTGGGAGCCAGCCTGGGACAGCGAGGCAGAGGGACTCATATTCCCCTCACCCACCCCTCTAGGCCCGAGCTCCAAGCACTACAGCCAGGTATGGGCTGCTGTCTACCTGTTCCTGGCCTTAGGCCTGTACATGGAGGCAACAGTGCCCCCTGCCACCTGGCCTTGGCCAGTGCATGGAGGCTCTGAGCCCCCACCATCAAACACAGGACATCTGTTAATTTTGATCACACTATAAGTTTAAGTGCTTTGTGTAAAGCACAAAAGTTACAGCACAAAGTGCCTTTCAGTCAAGTGTTTATGCACTGTATTTACCTAAATATAAGATGACCCTGAATGGAAGATGATCCACAAGAATTAAATTCAATACATAGAAAATTTATAATTTTTAAAATAATTTTCCACGTATGGAATCTAATTACTGGAGGATCATCTTTAATTCATCCCCCCACCCCACTACTGCAGGTGGTGAAAAGGGGGACAGTAATGGGGCAAGCAGTGGGGGACAGACAGTGGGGGAGGCAGTATGAGGGAACATGGTAGGGCAAGTAGGGGGGCAGTAATGGGGCAGGCAGTGGGGAGCGGTGGGAGGCAGGCAGTGGAGAGGCAGTGGGACAGGCAGTAAGAGGGGCAGGCAGCTTGTCCCCTGCTGCCTGTCTCTGCCCTCCCCCCAATTACCCCATTGTGCCTCCCCCCCTCAAGCTTCAGGCTGCTTTGATTGCCCTGCTCCTTCCTCCTCCCCCCTTTATGCAGCTTCTGCCACCCACAGCCTCAAGTGCTTGCTCCCTCTTCCTCCTATCTCCCCACCCCCAGAGTCTCTCCCCACTGCCTGCCCTTCCAAATCCTCCTTTTACCTTTGCTCTGCACCGGCAGGCTATGTCCCTGCTGCAGCCTGGGGCACAGAGCATAGCTCCAGCCTGGCCCCATAGCAGCGGCATGGAGCTGACACTGCTGTTCCAGCCCCGCCCAGTAGCATCTGTGTTGGCTGTGCGCTGCTGCTACTAGGCCAGGCTGGAGCTGTGCTCCATGCCCCAGGCTGCAGTAGGGAGCCTGCCAGTGCAGAACAAAGATAAGAAGTGTGACAGAGGGGGAGAGAGAGGGAGAAGGGGTAGAGGGAAGAACTGGGGGCTGTGGGGAAGGAGTGGTGGTCTGTGCAGAGGCAGCAGGGGGCAGGTGGCAGCTGCGGCTCCAGCTGTAGCCCCAACACCAGGTTGAGGCCAGAGCTATAGCAGGTGCCTTCCCCCCACTACCCCCACTGTATCTTGTTTGATTGTAAGGAGACGGGCTTTTTTCCCCCATGTTAAATTGGGAGGGAAACCCATATGGTATATTAATACATCTATTCTCCATTATATTGTTTTTTATTGATCTTTTGAAAATTGGGATATGCAAAGGAAGAAATACTGAAGGGAACTAATTTCTGTTTACTTTATTTCTTCTTATTTTTATATTTTTCAAAAGCTACACACTGTTTTCTTTAGGTTCAGCATTAAGTAGTTTGTGTCACATGTAATCTTCTGCTTATGCTTTCGGGCAGAACCAAAAATCTTAACTAATTAACCTACAACACACTATAGTTAACCTCAGGCTTATCACTCTTCAAAGTAAGCAACCCAAGAAGCTTGTTTGTTGTATTTTTGCCCCAAGGAAGAAGCGTTTTGTCAAACATAGATACCCACATACGTCTCATAATAATTTGTGTTGGATTTTAAATGATGGGTATCTCAGGACTGTATGCTTACTTTATTGTGAAAGATGTGTGCTTATGATTTTTTAAAATATTTTTTATCTGAGGTCTGATACTGCTGAAGATAAGTTTGTATTCTGCAATGGACTTGTCCTTCATAGACTTCAGTGCCTTCGTGGATTTGGGGAGTGGCTCGACTCTATTAAAGACTTTTCCTTAAACTTACAGAGCCTTAACCTTGATATCCCAGCCTTAGCATGTCTGTCAGCTCTAAGTATGATTACAGGTAAGTGCTCTTTTGCTAAAAGGAATCTCCAAATACTAGCATTTTATTGCCTCCATAGATCTGAGCTCTGGCAGCTGATTTTGCTGTATTCTGAATAAGGCCAATTTGCCTTTTATTATTTCATCAGATAAGCTAGCTTGTGAGCTGCATTATTTCTCTCACCCAGGAAGAGATGCTGTTTTGGAAACTTGGGGAAAATGCTGGCTGTATTGAATCCAGTGGCAAAACTCCTGCTGACATCAGTGGGCACTTTTACATGTGCTCTAGAAACTGGGGGGTGGGAGGAGAGCCACTCTAATTAAAGCGCCGCAGCTTCTCATGTATGGGTGTTCCTGCACTCCAAAATGGTGGCGGGGGCACTTGAACTAAAGCTCGTTCAATGAGTTTTAGTTCAAGCGCCCCCACTGCCATTTTGAAGCACAGGGACGCTAATACATGAGACATGGGAGGCTGCTGGAGCGCAGTAATTACAGTGTGTTGGAGCAGTCTCTGCGTTCATGTACTGGTACCCAGTGAGACTAAGTTTGCATCTTCAGAGTTCGTGGTATTTTTCCCTCCCATAGCTAGGGAAGATTTAATCTCTCTCAGTTTTAGCTTTAGACATAGTTTCCTATGAAAGTATTTTAATTTTCTAAATCAATTTATGTCCATTGCACCATAGTCAAGTGCAGAACAGTATGGATCAAATTCTGTTCTTTTTTACACCAGTGTAAATTGAGAATAAGTCTGTGGAATTACATTGTTTACACTAGCCTAAGAGGCCCAAAGCGAGGGAGTTGTCACAGCCAGCAGAAAGTGTCTTTGCATTTTTCTTCCCCCAAAATAACACAAAATACTTTTTACTCTTCATGGATGGATAACATTGATTAACTTTACTATTATTTTTCAGAAATAGTGTAATGGGAAAGTGTTTATAATTGGAAGCACATTCTATTTTTTATATACTCTGTTGTGATTGGATCAAATGAAAAGTGGTTTCCATAATTTTTCCAGACGACCTGAATATATTAGCACATGGCCTGACTAGGGCAGGATTTTTTTATTTAGTGAGTACTTTACTTGCCAAAATGTACTTTCTGTCAGTCTAAAAGCATTTGCAATTCATGGAAAATTTGACTAAGATTTTGGCGAAAAAAATGAAAATATTTTGGAAATCGCAAACTTATGGAAGTTAGGCCCCATTCACAAAAACAAGGAAGCCATTTTGGCTGTCCCCTGCCCCTATATCATCCGATGGTTAGGACACTAACCATAATATGAAAGATTCAGGTTCATACCCCTCTTTGCTTTATTCAAAGAAGGGATGACAATGGGGGCTTTCTGCCTCCAATGAGTATGCCCTAACTCCTGAGCTATACGTTATTCAGAGGCAAGTCTCTCTTTCTCTCTCACTCTTTTTCTCTTTCCTGGTGAAGCTGTTATGCATATAATAAATAATTAAACATTTGTTGAGAGAATGTTAAAGAACATGCCAAAATGAAATTAAAGGAAATAATTTTGGATCAAAGAATATGTTTTGTTCATCTCCAGTTTGCTTTGATTCACCAATACTTAAGAAAAAAAATATTTTGGATCACCCTAAAGGAAAGTTCTAAAATTCTTATTTGATTGGGTGGCTGAACCGAAAATCAGTTATTTCTACTGCTCTGTGTACTTTTTTTTTTGCCTTGCCTGGTCTTCAGCAGCACCAACTGTGGATTTATTTCTGTAAGTAACAAGAGGTGCCTCTCTGAGTGGTGCTCCTCTTGCGCTGCTTGTTTTCATATGTGCTTGCTGGGTGTGTTTACAATAGACTAATTAGCTGCGCAGTAAACATCTTGGTGTCTACATGCGCACTCCAATGAGGCTTGAGTAAACTAATTTTCTCTGCAGTAGCACATGTGTAGACACTGGAAGGGCTACATGGGCCACAAGGATGCTTCAGTGCAGGGGCTGCCTGCCAGCTAGCCCTGCACTGAAGCTTCCTCAGGCCCCAGTCAATCCTTCCACAGCATGTTGAGCCGGGGGGAGCTGACCCAGGCTGGCAGGCTGACCCCAGGGGGGCTGCTCCAACCTTGCTTCATATGCTATGCATGAATAAAGTGGAGCTTATTGCTCCAGAGTTAATTGGTCTGGGCACACATTCAAATAGCGCACCCAGGAGCAATACACTCCAGAGCAATAAGCTCCTCATTTATTCAAGCACAGTTATAGCATATATAGACACAACTTTTATGCACCAAAAAGGTGAGTTCTCATAAAACAGATCCTGTAGTAAGAGAGGGAATAGAGGTGTTGAGGGAGGGAGAAACTAAGGAGAGTAATTACCCACACATGTGCTAAAGAAAACTAACTGGTCTCTCCTATGGAGGGAAAAGAGAAGAGAATAAAACAGTATTGGGAGATAAAGGACATCCCCTATACCCAGGGCAGCCAACCTGTGGCACGTGTGCCACAAGTGGCATGGGCAGTCTCTGTGTATGGTACATGGCAGACACGGGAAAGGACAAACAGCACAGTGGCAGTAAGTTTCATAGTAGCTAGGGTCAGGAGGGACCTGAACAGACCATCTAGCCTGACCCCCTGCCACAGGCAGGAATTAATGCTGGGTTCACAAGACCCCAGACAGATGATCGTCCAACCTCCTCTTGAATATGCCCAAGGTAGGGGCGAGTACCACTTCCCTGGGAAGTTGGTTCCAGATTTTGGCCACCCTAACTGTAAAATATTGCCTTCTATTCTCCAACCTAAACCTATTCTCCATCAGCTTATGACCATTGTTCCTCATCACCCCAGAAAAGAGAAAAAGAGAAAAGAGCTCTGCCTATTTGCTGTTGATCCCCCTTGATGAGCTTCTAGGCAGCCACCAGGTCCCCCCTCAGCCTCTTCTTGCTGAGGCTGAACAGGTTCAGGTCCTTCAGTCTCTCCTCGTAGGGCCTGTCCTGCTGCCCTCTCACCAAGCGGGTGGCCCTCCTCTGAACCCTCTCCAGGCTGGCCACATCCCTTTTGAAGTGCGGTACACAGTACTGGACACAGTACTCCAACTGCGGCCTGACCAAAGTTGCAGAGAGGGGGAGTATCACCTCTCTGGACCGGCTTGAGATGCACCTTTGGATGTATGACAAGGTATGGCTGGCCTTGCTGGCTGTGGTCAGGGAGGGAGCAGAAAGCAAAGCAGCAGATCAGTAAGGGAGCACATGTCAGGAAGCAGAAAGCAGAGCAGCAGCTTAGGCAAAGGAAGGAAATCAGAATAGCACTGGGGGAGGGAGCAGAGCTAATTTGTGCATGCCTGCGAAAAAGGTTGGACCCTACAGCCCTATATTCTCAGTTGCCAGTTCCCCGCTGAATACCATTTCTCCCTTCTCAGCTGCCAAGGCCAGACTGTGTCTGAGTGTATCCTTCTCTGCCACTAAACTATTCTCAGAGTTGATCATTTCACTTACTCAGAAGTAAAAATGTTTTCCCCTCCCCCATAGCAATATCCTGGAAACCCTCTGGACCTATGCCGTGAAACTGTAGAGCTGCCATAGGGTATATTCTAGCTCCTGCTCTGCAGACAGCCTTTTACAGCTCCACAGCTAGATCCAGGGTTGTGCAAATGTTTGAGCAAAAACAAAAGCAGCAAGGCCTAGCACCTTAGAACCTAAGACCTTAGAAACCCCTGCCCATCATTCTGGTATTTCTCATCTAGCACCCACTTACTTTTCCAGGTACATTCGCAGAGACAGGCAGCATTTAGTAACCCATTAGTCAGACAGCACCTACCCAGACCAGCTCTCCTAATACCTGCCTATCCCAGCAACCTCATCCCTACCCCAGACATGCAGCTATCTGCCCTGAGCCCTCACCAGCACCTCTGCTAGCATTCTCAACTTGTCTTCTACCTATCAAGCAACAAACAGGTAACAACTGTTTTGTGCTGCTCCGTATCCTAGCCTCTACAATGGCATTGGTGAGAATGTGTTGTATTCATAGATTTAATAGATTTCATAGACATTAGGACTGAGAGGCACCTCGTAAGATCATCAGGTCCAGCCCCCTGCCCAAAGGACAGGAAGTCAGCTTGGGTCAAATGATCCCAGCAATATAGGCATCCAAGTGTTTTTTGAATGTATCCAGAGTAGGTGATTGCACCATGTCTGCAGGGAGTCTATTCCAGTACCTGGGGACTCGGACAGAAAATAAGTATTTCCTTATGTCTAGCCTAAAAGGGTCTTCCAGGAGTTTGTGACCATTGGATAATGTCTTCCCTTGGGGTGCCTTGGTGAACAGACATTCTCTCAGTTCCTAATGCACACCCCTTATGTACTCATAGGCTGCCACCAAGTCCCCCCATAGCCTATGCTTTTCCAGGCTGAAGAGTCCCATGGCTTTTAACCTTTCCTCATAAGGCCTGCACTCTTGACCTCTAATCATTTATGTGGCCCTCCTCTGGACTCTTTCAAGCTTCTCCACATCCTTTCTGAATTATGGAGCCCAGAACTGGATGCAGTACTCCAGCTGAGGCCTCACCAAGGCCAAGTAAATTGGGAGGATGACGTCCTGGGCCTTGCTTGAGATGCATCAGTAGATGCAAGCCAAAGTTTTGTTTGCTTTGCTGGCTGTGGCATCGCATTTGTGGCTCATGTTCATCTTATGGTCAATCAAGTCTCTTTTGCTTGTGGTGCTAGCAAGTGTAGCACTGCTAAGCCTATAAGTATGGTGTGGGTTTTTTCTCCCAAGGAGGAGCACCTCGCATTTCTCAGTGCTGAATGCCATCAGGTTTTGATCTGCCTACCTGGTAAGCCTGTCAAGGTTGGCCTGGATTGCCAGCCTATCCTCTAGGGTGACTGCACTTCCCCATAGTTTGGTGTTGTCAGTGAATTTAGCCAGTCCACTTCTGACACCAGCGTTCAGATCATTTATAAATACACTGAAGAGTACAGGCCTGAGAACAGAGCCCTGGGGGATGCCACTGGTCACCACGCGCCATGTTGATTTGGTTCCATCGACTATCACTCTCTGGGTCCGTCCACGGAGCC